GCTGTTTGCTTATATTCATCCTTTGTAATTTGTCCTACTTTCCATTTTTCATATGACTCCTTTTTTATTTTTAGATCATGCAAGAACTCATGGTTAAGCCAAAGCGGTCTTTTGCCATATTTTCTATTTTTCCGACACATCGGAATAGCTTGGTTTTGGGCCCTTAACAATGTCCCTTTGAAAAACTGCCAACTCTCCTCAGTTGTTTTTCCCCTTAGTCTTGATTCCCATGGGACCTTACCTATCAGCTCTCTGAGCGTACCAAAATCTGCCTTCCTGAAATCCATTGTCTCTATTTTGCTGTTCTCCCTTCTACTCTTCTTAGAATGGTGAACTCTATGATTTCATGATCACTTTCACCCAAGCTGCCTTCCACTTTCAAATTCTCAACTTGTTCCTCCCTATTTGTTAGGATCAAATCTAGAACAGCTCCCTCCCGGGTAGCTTTTTCAACCTTCTGAAATAAAAAGTTATCTCCAGTGCAGTCTAAGAACTTATTGGATAGTCTGTGCCTCGCTGTGTTATTTTTTGCCAACTTATATCTGGATAGTGAAGTCTCCCATCACCACCAAATCTTGGGCTTTGGATGATTTTATTAGTTTTTTAAAAAAAGCCTCATCCACTTCTTCCACCTGGGTTGGTGGCCTGTAGCAGACTCCTAGCATGACATCACCTTTGTTTTTAATCCCTTTTAGCCTAACCCAGAGACTCTCAACACTTCCGTCTCCCATGTCCATCTCCACCTCACTCCAAGTGTGTTCATTTTTAATGTATAAGGCAACACCTCCTCCCTTTTTTCCCTGTCTATCCTTCCTGAGCTAGCTGTACCCTTCTATATAAAAATTCCAATCATGTATTATCCCACCGAGTTTTGTGATGCCAACAATGTAGCACTTCCAGTTTTTCCTGTTTATTTCCCATACTTCTCACATTTGTGTATAGGCATCTAAGATCCTGATTTGACCTTGCCTCCCAGTTTTGCCCTGACCCTCCTTTCTCTCTGCCATTGTAGCCCATGCTCCCTCCCATTTCCGACCCATCTCCCAGGTCCCCATGTTCTCCACTTAACTTGTGGGCTTTATCAAGAAGTTGTGGAATTTTTTTGAATTTTATATAAACAAGTTTAGACTTTTAAAATTGAATTAATCTGTTTTGTGAACTAGGGATGTAAGCGGCTAATCAACTACCTGATAATCCGCCATGCTTTTAATACATTTAAAAAGCAGGGGTGCAGTGGAGAGTACCAGGAGCAAACCATCAGGAATTAGCTTTCCCGGCTCGCTCCTAGTCCCTCAGCTGAGCATCTGCTGCCTGACTCTTAATACATTTAAAAATCAGAGGGAATCAGCTAAACACCTACTGGCTCCTAATACGTTTAAAAGTC